TGAATTTACTATTTACAATAAGCAAAATACTTTGTTGCATTTCAAACCCAATTTTAATTGATTGTTATTATCATTAAAATCGTCGATATTGATAAATCTGTCAATAAAACATAATTTTCTTTATTAAAAAATCTTTCAACAATAAAACATACTTTCTTTATGTTATACTGGAACACGCCTATTCTATAGTTAATAGACTCTCCCACCTATAATAAGTAGTAGTAGTAGCAGTCACGAAGTCGCTCAGTGAGTTGGTCTGAGTTCAGTCTGAAGTCGGACGACCGGCTGACCGGTTGAACTCTCTGCCTTCGGGCAGTGAGGAACCCGAACGACGCTACGCCGAAGGGCGGATTCTCTTTCGAGGTGTTAAACCGACTCTGAACCCGTTTATACGGGTTCAATGGGGATATTTTTGGCCAGGCCCACGGGCTCGGAGATCCCACGTTAAACCGGCCACATGATGCCCTCGTGGGGGGGGGGTGACTAAATACTCTCAGTGAGTTGGTGAGTCAGTCGATGCCAGACGACTGTTAGTCGGATATTAAAGTATCAGCCACCACAACTAGATTGCTGCGTCATTAACTATTATATCAAGTTCCTAACGTTTTGTACGTCGAACCTATTTTAGGACCGATTTAGTGAAATACAAGCTTCCACTGTGAAACTACTCTATAACACTTTAAAATTTATTTGAGAAATATTAACTGATTTAAAGTATAATTAATCAGAATTAAAATAAATATTAGTTACTTTTAATTTAAAATATCGTTGAAACACGAAGGTGAGTGTTTTTATAGAGATATTTTAACACATTTATTGATAGCCTGATGTTTGTCATATTTAATAAATGTGACATAACTGTAAAAATTACTTGACGAATACAACATGAACGCCTTTTTATAAATTTTTAAGTAGCAAGTAATCTTAAAATTTTAGGAAAATCTTCAAAGTAATCTAATAATTTATTGAATTTTAGGTACTTTGGCTTTATATTCTTACTTACCAAGGCACTTGTTGGGGGAAGTGTTACAAAATTACCAATAAATTTTAAATTTACTCTAGTTACCGCTCTTATTTTATGATTATTTCGTGTGTGGTCATTCGTATTTACAAAAATTAACACGTTTATACACAATGTAATGTTTATACACACAAAAAAAATCAAAATTCTTTTTAAAATACTGGAGTTTGCTGAATTGCAGTAAGCTTTTCCATTTATATAGTTAATCCTTTTAAAAATTCATTATTCATCGAAACATTTTTTCAATGGTGTCCATAATATATCTTCATTCATATCAGCAATTAAAAGATATTGCAATTTTTATTTTACGATTCAGAGCAGATTTCTGTAATTGGAGGTACTGTTTGACCAAAAAAATTGATTTAAATTCTCCACGGATTTGTCCTTGTAATTAATATAAACATTAAACACTACAAAATGAGTTTCTCGAAATTTCCAAAAAATTAAATAAACGGAGGTTAACAGATATAAAAAAAAAATTACCAAGAATTTCAAAAAATAGAAACGTTTCTAAAATAATTTAAATAATTTGTGAATAAGTTCTGAAGAGTTCATTAAAACCCGACAATTATCTTTGCAAGAATTTCCAAATCAATGTGTTTTTCACCGCAAAACGATGCTCAGATTTCTCATACTAATTTATAGTCACCCGCTGGCGCAAGAAAACAATTTTTTTATCCAATTATTATTATTAATAATAATAATAATAATAATAATAATAATAATAATATGTGTGTGTGATACCATTTCTAACCTTAGGTCTCTGGTTGGGACCCGGAAAGAAATGAATATACAACAGAAATTAAAGTAGATAAAACAATAAAAAAATAATAATAAATATATATTTATTATTATTGTTATAAACGTTATTTATTTAGTTTTTGAGTCAATATTCCTATTTTTTAAACTGTAACAGACATTTCAGTGCTTGCAACGCCACGAAAGCGTTTTTAAGCAGACCTAACATGACGATGGTTTCTCTAATATAAAGAGGACCAGAGTCGATCCTTACCGAGAGGCTCCATTAATAGACTTTCGATTGCTTAGGCTGGTAGACATCAATTACACTGTTTTAAAACGGTGATGTCTACTCACATACGTGTATCCATTACATAAAACGTTTATAGTCATAATAAATAATACTGGATTATAAGTAAAATACATTGATTCCTTATAAAGTGTGATTTTGTAGACTAATCCTGGTTTAGGCCAATAAGAATTAGTCGGCAGATTACCTATTTAAGTAGACGGCCATTCGTAAAAGATAAGGGAAAATTTATTTTTGGAAATCATTTTTGTATTTTAACATTTCTTAGACCTCTCTTAAACCATGGTACATCAGAATAGAAAAATATTGATTTGTTATCAATATTTTAGAATTTTAATATTTTATAAGGGAGGTCCTTGTCATAATATCGATACAGTGTAAAATCAATCCCTGTATTTTATAGTTATTGGGACTTAGCGGTTTGTGTACAAATGTCAAGTTTGAAATTGTACTTACGTCATTGATATCTTTTTTACAAAAACGATTTCTTTCAGATAAAGAACAAATGTTTAAATGTGTTTTGTTTATTTAAAGAAATAAACGAGCAATTGTTTTGCGAAATAGCTTTTTCATTAATAAAGAAATAAACGTATACATTTTTTAAAAGTAGTGTCACATTTTTAATTAAAAAACAAAAAATAACGTAAATTAACAAAAGTATAAAAAATATGCAGAGATCAATGACGTAAGCATATTTTCAAGGCATGACATTTGTTAATAAACAATTGCAGATAACTCTGTAAAAGTGAAGAATGATTTGACACTATATCGATATCATAGTCCCACTTTCAAATAAATGAAATATCAATATTTATCTGTTATGACAAATTTCGCTGTTTGAAGAAGATCTAAAGAATGCTAGTCTACAAAATTAATTCTCCCGAATAAAAGTGTGGAGGTTGTGTTAATGGATTAAATTATATTGATCAAAAATTGTTGAGTAAATTAGGTTGCGTGATGAAATTAACAATTTCCTCTCAAATTAAATTTTAGTATTCAAAAACACAGAATAAGGACAACATGAGAAACAACAGTTTTTGCACAGCATGAATAAAATATTTATATAACAAAGAGGTACAAACAACTGGAGTAAAAAGGTAGTTTTTAAAAAGTTCAAACGTCCTTTTATGTTTAGATAAAAGGTTATCAAAGTTCTGGTTTAATATATTATAATTTGTTGAATGGTCTGTACAATAATGAAAAAGTTTGTTTTGGTATTATAGTAATTTAAGAAAAAAATAAACAGTTCAAATTTGTATTTGAAATAGAGAAATATTGTTTACGACTTACTTTAAGGTTTATGGAATTGTCGCTCTTTGATTTGTTTTCACTGGTTCGAAGAAAATTTTCTGTAGTTGAAATAAGTGTTTCTTAACAAGCTGTGTTTATGTTAATTGCAATAATTGACGTTGAGCTTGAAAGCGTATGAAAAAGATTCGTGTATTAAGTTGAATGTGGAAAACTTGAGTTGATTGTTCGTCATAAAATATTGCTGTGTGAATGAGTGTTCTCTCAGGCTGGAATCATGTTAAGGAACTTTAACGTGAAGCCTGGAACTGTGTAACGAGTTCAAAGGATTCCGATCGGCGTACTGTCGAAGATGAAAGACGTTTCATATTTTATTGCTAACTTTGGTCACAGAAGCTTGATAGATTTTGGTGGAATTATCTTTTTGGTCAGATCAAGAACTACGTCGATGTTATTAAATATTAAGTGACCAATTAGAAGTTGAGATTTTCTGAAGATATTTACTAAGCTGAATAAGCTCTGTGATCCACTTTTTATACAAAAATTGATGTTGATAAAAAAGGTGGTAGCGGGATGCTAAAAAAGAAAACAAACAAACTTTTCCGGATTTTTAAAGAATGGATCAGTCTGTTTAAGTAGTGCCTACATTGCCTATAAGTCAATACCTAATCACGCTAATAATAAGGTGACAAATTATAATAAAAGATAACAATAATACTATCTTCATGATAATCAATAGCAGTAGATAGGTTCACCTATCGTCTTACCGGATGACAGAAAAAAAACCCTAAAAAAACCCTATGTAAACATAGCTCTTCCACATATGCATTGCCGTGTTATCAAAGGTCGAAAAAAGCTTAAAACAGGAAATAAAACAATCATTAATGCTGCCAAAAAAGGTTTTTATTGTTTCATGCAATACAAAGGCCGAAAAAAAAAAATAAAAAAAAAAAAATGAAAGATCTTAAACCAAAAAATTACTATCCTGAATGGATAAATATGCAGCTATATATAAGATATAAGCAAGACCGTATCACCAAAACACTCTACTCAACTGCTGTCGGCCACTGCGGAAAGTTGTAAACAACTTGTGGCGCTGCCCTGGTAGCCACTCAACGAACTAATTGTGGCTGATTCAAAAAAGCATCGGACCATGGGAATTGCCTGACCATAGAGTACCGGGTTAAAAAGTTAGGAATGTATCATTTTATTTCTATATTGCTCTATTGGCACTGGAATAACACTTCACGCATATTTATACTCTACGGATGCCTCATCTAGGAGCAATGGTTGAAAGGTGATATGAAATATAATTAAAGTTCGAGCCTTACCGAGTGCTCCACAATTATGACTTTGTACAACACTAAGCTGTATTTAGAGGAGCAATTCTTAGCTGTTTCTCAGTCCATTACGAGTTCAGTGAGTTCGAACTTCATCGATTGCTCTACACCTGTGAACTTGCACCATACATAGCTTAACAAAATATTTAGAACGTCTCGCTATGGTTGTTAGCCGTTTAATCTCATAAACCATTATTACTGCAACGAATTCGATCCTTGCTGACTACTCCAGATTTTGTGACTATATGTTCTTTTTTTCCTTTCCCAGGAAAATGCAAAAGGGCTTTCTTTTCTTTCTTATTCAAGGCTTGTATCGATTTTTTGGATCTTTTATTATTTACAGGGGACAAGAAAGATGGCCCGCACCAGTGTTACATCTGTCAAAGTTCGTACCAGGGGAAAATGAATGAGAACTGTCCAGGGGACCACCATATCAATGCAGGACCAACGATTTACAGGAGTAATTGCTCCGGTCCTTGCTACGTAAAAACTGATGTTCGATACAGTGGGAGTGAGTAACAAAGATTTTTTTTACATTTTTGTTCTATCCTATTATAATTGTGCTTGTCCCTTCGTTAATTCGCTCGACTGTTACGACCGCGTTCTTTTTTTTTCTTTCTTTCTTTCTTTCTCATATATAATAGACTATTCCGTTTTGATCGCGTGGAAAGAGGGATAAAGACACTACTTAGTTTCAGTGAGAAGATCAAATAAAGAAAGAAGGGAAGATAGAAGTGGTTAATAGCTGTTTCGGTGAAATGGAAAAACATCTGTTTATATTTCTGAGATGCAGTATTGTAACTATTTACTTTTTCGGATTGTTGCCCTCATCTTTGTTGCCATATTCACGATGTTTCGACCTTTAGATGATATTTGTCAGAATTCAGAACCGAACCCTTTATTTAGTCAACGGGAGTAGATTATTCTAATTCCATGTACCGTGCTGTTGGATATCTCAATTTCAGTTAAGTTTCAAGGTTTTATTCTCTCTGTTGTGGTTAGGTATTGAACATATTGGGTCAAGTCACTTTTGGATCAATAAACCAATGCTTTTATCCACTGGGCCATGTGTCCTCGGGGATATTAGTGAGTGAATTTTTTGGACTAATGTCTCAGTACAATTTTTACCATAGCTCATATAACTGTTTTTGTTACAGTTGTTTTTCTCTATCTCTGTATATTACCACCCATACAGTGTGAAGAAAGGGATAGTCCGCTGCCTACAACATCGAACAAAAGTCATAAATAATAACACATGGACAAGAAATGCTTAATATAAACCATACTCTACATTGTAACAACTACTCTGGGTACATAACAAACATACTGCGATAGAAGGGTACAAGACAATAACAACACTCAGAAAACAGCCTCGATCTGCCTACCATACGTGAAGGGTTTATTGGAAGAGATCTGCGGTCCACATAACATCAGGAAAACCTTCAAGAGTGGTTCACCACTACACGAACATCTCTTCCGAGTAAGATCACCCATAGAGGAGAACTTGATTAAGGTATGTACCCCATTCCGTTCAGCTGTGGCAAGAAATATCAGAGAAATATGCTGTTCCCTTAAGATAAAACTGCGGGAACACCGTAAGGCCGTAACACGAGGAGAAGTAGAAAAATCAGGCATGGCTGACCATATATGGAGAGAAAAGTGTCATCACCGCCCTCTGTGGGATGAAGTTGAAAAAATAGACAGAGAAAATCACTGGAAAATACGAAAACTTAAAAAATCAGCGTATATGCTAGGCTACAAAAATCTCCTAAGCCAGCAAAGCGTAACATGAATACAATATGGGAACCAGTAATACAGAGAACTAGAGAAAAACAGCAATAACAAAAAAATTGTAATATGAACTATAGTAAAAATAGTAGAGACATTAAGGTTTATAAGTCCCAAAGATTTACTCATTGATGGATAAAAGCTTTAGTTGAGTGATCCAAAACTGACTTGAGCAAAAGTTTTGTGAGTTCAATACTTGCCCACGGCAGAGGGAAGAAGAACTTTGAGTATTGAGTTAACTGAAATTGAGGCAGGGCATGTGGAATTAGGAAAAACCCTAACCCTACTCACCAGAAGAAAGGTATAACGGCAGAAAAGTCGTGAATATGGCAATAAAGATGGAGACAACAGTTCGAACAATGTAAATAGTGTAAAGAAATGGAAACAAATGTCGATTTCAAATCTTTTCATTTGTACCCACATAAAATAACGGCCAGCATTCATATTTATAACTGTTATTGCAATATTTTGTTAAAGTTGTTAAGCTCAATTTTTTTTTTTTAACATACAACGTGTGTTAGCACGTGCGATACCCTGACTTCATCAGCCGCCGACCAGGGGTGATCTCACGGTTTCGGTGGCTATGGCGGGACCGCCACCCCAGGCGCCACCAGCAGCATTTGCCACCAGGCAGGGTATGAAAAAAAAAAAAAAAAAAAATAATTGATCGTTCCTCTTTGCAAATTCTTAATGAAATAAATAAAACGATTGTTCCTCTTTGCAGCTTCTGTCCGTAATGAAAGTTCCTGAACGCGTTTGCCGTTATTGACGCGCTCGTAAAAATCGTTATAAACGGCTATGCAAATATTTCACCTGCGCATGTTAGGTCGTGATGATGCGCGCATAATATTTCACTAATGTTTGTTCTGATCTTAACTTTCCTTTCTAAATTTGTCGTCGATTTGGTCGTTTTTCCTCTTTTTATCTTTTCCATTACCGGTTCAAATCACTCAAAGCAAACGTCGTATATTATTCTACAAAAGGAACTGATCTTTTGCCCTATGTGACCCTTAAGATTGTTATTAAGGATAAAAGCTCTTTGTCAAGATTAGTCCAAACAGTCTTCTGGTTACCTTTGGGCCACTGTATTCTTGGTTTACTTAGGATTTCTCCAGGGTGCTGTCGCTCAACGATGGAATCCTGAACGCTGTGGGTGTATTCCAGATTCATAATCCCATCACTCGATTTACATTCTCCAATAGGAGAATTACGTTGTTTGCACCAGCGTGCCTTATGGATACGTAAACCGCGTAAACCGTTGAATCTTCTGCCGCAATCATACGTTGTAGCCGGGTCCATATACAGGTCGTTTCCATTAAAATCAGTCTGATGGGTGATATATTCTCCCTCCCCGCTACAGTCACCCAGAGGGCATTCTACGTCTCTTGTATTCTTCATGCTTTAATGTAGATTCTTGTCTTTCAAGATGTCACTCCACCTTTCTAGAGGGTCACTTCGTCTTTCGAAGAGGCATCTTGCTTTCCAGAGAGTCTTGGTAATCAATTTTTAACATACAACGTGTGTTAGCACGTGCGATACCCTGACTTCATCAGCCGCCGACCAGGGGTGATCTCACGGTTTCGGTGGCTATGGCGGGACCGCCACCCCAGGCGCCACCAGCAGCATTTGCCACCAGGCAGGGTATGAAAATAAATAAATAAATAAATAATTGATCGTTCCTCTTTGCAAATTCTTAATGAAATAAATAAAACGATTGTTCCTCTTTGCAGCTTCTGTCCGTAATGAAAGTTCCTGAACGCGTTTAACGATGCAATATGGGAATTTCTACAGATATTTTATTGCCGTAGAACTTGCTATGATCATACAACCTTAAAAGAGGAAAACATTTCTTTCTTTCTTTGGTCAATCGTGTCAACATCATTGTTTTCATTCATTTTTCTTTTATTCCAGTGTCTATTCATATCTATTCTCAATAACTCGTTCTTTCTTTCTTTCTTAGTATCAACCTCAACGTTTTCATTCATTTTTCTTTCACTCTAATGTCTATTCTTGTCTATTCTGAACAATAATTTTTTTCTTTTTTCTTTCTAAGTCTTTTCTATCTATCTATCTATCTATCTATCTATCTATCTAACTATCTATCTAATAAAAACCTGTCCGCATGTATTTTCTATTCTTAGTCGTTTTTCGTGGCTGTTCAGACATCGTTTATCGCTTCCCTAAACCAACCCCTAAGGACGGATGTTACAAATATTACGTTGATGTCTGGTGTATCTGCCGTGGTCATTTGTGCAACACAAAACCCTTAGGTAATTTCCGTCTCACATTCTTTATTTTTCCAATTGTTTTTCATTTGTTAATGAACTTCTCAAATGACGAAAAAAAAAAAACCCAAAAAAACAAACCAAAAAACAATATTGCTGTCGCCCATTACTCATTTATATAATTTTCTGAGCTCATAGAAATTCCAGTTTATTTTAGGAAGTCGAACTCAATGCAATTCATATACTGGGTATCATCGTACCCGAAACGTAAGCGCAGTAATTTTTAAATAGATTTTTTGAAATGCAACATTATTTTTATTATTATTATAAACGTTATTTTTAGTGGGAATCCATGTTTGAGCTGATATCCGTGTTTTATTTAATTTCTTAAACTGTGAACTTAATGGCAACGTACTAAAAAGAAATCTGCATCCTGATATCAATCGAACCCGTCTTCATCTTTTCCATCAGGCATCTCCACTATAGCCGAAGTGTGTCCTTATCATGACGATAACCCTAACCCTCCCGTAGCCTAATTGGTAAGGGCATGCTTCGACTATAGGAATAATTTTCTTGGTGGAGAAACGTAGTACAAGTTCAATTACTGTCGGGAGGAACATTTTTCTTTAGTTAGACTTCTCGATCTAGGCCGGTTGACATTAATTTCACTGTTTAATAAAAATAAATGTTTATCGTATTAAGAAATACTGGGTATAACTGAAAAAGTTATGACCGTTGTATTTGTTAAAAGCAGTTATGATGATTACTAGAAAATGATTTAAGCAATTTCATGAAGTTTAGAAAGAAACAAAAATCGATGCTTATATTTAATTCATGCTTCAAGTGATCAAAACCTCTTCTGAAGTTCCTGGCAGAGCATGATGGTTAGCTAGTTTTTCTAACATATTAATTCAGCGATTACCCCACTACTGAAGCCTTATGCCAGACTAAACATATCTGAAAGTTGACTTGCAATGTTTTTTTTTTTTGTTGTGATATCCATTCAGGACCTAGGCGGTGATAGACGCTTTTTATTAACTTTGAAATACCATGACTTTAACCACTCGGAAATACCAGGTGCTGGAATCTTAGGTATACAGGTGGTGTAATAGGTAAAGGCTCAGAATGAGAAATCGGATAGCAGAGTTCGAATTCCAGTCAGGTTTGTTATATTTACTTAAGTGCAAATATGAATGCAGGTATGAATTCACCTCTTCTACTCTCAGCTAGGGGTTAAATAGTAAGACTTGTATCAGAAAGTCATTATTATCCCCAAAAGATTTTTACAATCCCCAGAATTCTTACAATCCCAAAAAGGTTGGTAAGTGGTAAAAAAAAGAAGTAGCATAACTTCCCGAGAATTTTAGTAGAAGTGATTTCCCGTTGCCTTTTCAGCGGTTTTTAATTCAGAGTAATTCTTCTACTAAACTGGCTGCCACTAAAGACCGGAGAGCTCAATCTACCCTGCGATTTCAAACCGTAGTTGGGAGTAGAGAGAAGAAATTGGTTCAACTTTTTTTTTTTACATTAGAATAGAGAAAGATTCTTTCCAGAAACTAAACAAAATATTAAGAAGCCGGAAAATTTTGTTAGAAACAAAGAAAAGAATGTTGGGCAGTAATATCAATCCTCTTATATGGCAGTGAATGTTGAACACTTTTTTCATAGATGAACAGGAAACATGAGGCAACAGAAATGTGATTCTACAGAAGGAAGCTGAGATTACTATATATAAACAACGAGGTAGTGCCTAGTAAAATAGAAAAAACACTTATATCAGAAAAAGACAATTGAAATCTCTGGGATACATAATGAGGAAAGAGTAATTAAGCTTCAAAACAAGCGAAATTACAAAGCTGGTTACTCTCTGTTTTTCAAAGTAACTTTATAGGCAAATCGTACAATGTTGGACGTTGAGACCCAACAGGTCTGATTCGGTTGCACGTTTCTTTGGAAATTAAGTTACTTTTAAAAACTGAGAGTAACAAAAACAATGTGCCTCTTCGGCCGATCCTATCTATGATAGGATCTGTACAATATAAAATGGCTAAATGGTTGGCAACCTGTTTCCGATTCGTTCTCCACCTGCTTCATTTTTTACTCTTTCAAGATTGCTAATTTTATTGGGAACTCTGAAAGCTTTTAGTGTCATTGGACATTATAAGCTTATACACAAACATGCCTCTTCAAGACATTTTGCAAATGCTCTCTATAGGGGTCACCTGGATCCTGCATTAATTCTTGAAGTTTTGTTTTTCGAATTTATGCACTTAGCAACAGAGTGGGTGGAGTTTAGTTTTGATGAGAATATGTATGCCTGAATTGATGGGGTTTCGTCGGGCAGTCCCTGGATCCGGTTCTAGCCAACATTTTTATTGCCTTATTTTTGAAAAAAAAAGCTGTAAACCCTATGTCTATTGGCGTTACGTTGATGACATATTCTCCATCTTTAAATATATCAACGACGCCAGAGCTTTTCACACACTTCTCAATTCCCTTCACCCATCGTTGTAGGTGGAGATCGACGGTACTCTGCCGTTCTTGGATGTTTTGGTTGAACGTAAGGATGTTTTGTTCATCACCAGCATTTATCGCAAACCTACGTTCACTGGTTTGTATACAAATTAGAATTCCTTTGTTCCTAAGTACTGTAAGATCAACTTGATTTCTACCCTATGCCACTGTGCGTTGATAATTTGTTTCCCATGTACCCCTGATCAGAAACTAGAGAAAATCCATAGTATTTTTATTGATAACAGTTTTCCCATTAATGTTATCAAAGGAACTGTTGAACGGAAAATTAAGCGCTTCAAGGAGCCAGTAGTCTTTGGTCCCTTATTGTGTCCCCTTTATTTAAACCTACCATGGCTAGGTAGAAATAGTCAAGTACTCGCCTATGGCTTGTATTACATCAAGTTTTTCGACTGTAAAGTTACCTGTTATTTTTGAGACCCGTTCGGTGTTCCCCTCTTTCGTTAAGAATGGTCTGCCCTATTTACAAAATAGTTACGTGGTATATAAATTTAAATGTCAGTGTGATGCTGCATACATAGGACTGACCAATCAGAGATTGCAGACCCGTATAGATCAACACGTTCCTGCAGGTACAAGAGCAGGTAACTTTAGTTGATCTTCTAGGACGACAAAATCAATGTATGATCCAGCAATTGGTCAATATCTTCTGGATAACCCTGACTGTTCACATCAACATACAGATGGTTGTTTCACTATCTTACACAGAGCTTGGTCCGCTCATCATTTGAAGATTTTAGAAGCGATTTTTTATTAAAATACATTAAGTGACCCTATACAGACAAAAAGAAGTTTACCAGCTCACTAAAGTTATTTGGAGGGCGTGAGTAGTACCTTTCCCTTTTATACTCACTCAGAACATTTATATTTTATTCGGTAATTATTTTTACTAATAAATTGTTCCAAAATTATGTTTCCCGTCCTCTTCTACTACTTAGTTCTTGTGAATATCGTCTTATGTCTCGTCCCTAATTACATCAACGAATCCTTCTGAAGAAGAAGTTTTGGTCGCAAGAATTCTTAAGGAAAAAAATGTGTAAAGTCAGAATATATATATATATATATATATATATATATATATATATACATTATGTGTATATTGGGCAAATTTTCATACAAAACAAACGTGAGTTCTTTGCAAAGAATTTTTAACTTTAATTTTCCTATGTTTCAGGTCATTTTCCTGGGTTTCCTATGAAAGCTTTCCTCTTTGATACTTTGACTTTACGAATTTAATCGCAGTACTAGATTGGCGGCAAGGTCCCATTATTTTACAATTGAAATTGCTAGACATAACCATGTTCTATGCTAGCAGTTTCTTCTTTGACACTTCTCGTCTGTGGAACTTTCTTTGGGCTTCTTTCTTTACAATCAACTTTGATCTTCAAAAGTTTAAATGCAGTGTTAATCGTTATCTTTTGTTTCCTTGAACGCTGTTCTTTTATTGCCCTCTCTCCTTAATAATGTATGTTTTCAGATTCTTACATGTTCAGTAATCCCTTAATGGCTTTATCACCTTGCTTGAAGTGAAATGATTAAAAAGAAATATATATATATAAATTGTCCAATATCTGAGTACTTTGGGCTTTTTTAATCAATTATCAATGCACAAAAACCGTTTGATAATAGATTATGAAAGCCTAAAGTATTTAGACATTGGGCAATTTATATCAAAACATTCACCAAAAATATTGCTAAGAAAGGCCTTAAAAACTTTCGTTGATTTGTAACCAAACTAATAAAGATATGTGTATGTATATGTGTGTGTGACAAAATGGAAAAGTTTCATGTTTTAATGCAATATTCAAACCAAGTGTCACCAGTCCTTTAGCGTTTCGTATATATAGGTCCCTGGTAAACTAAAGGAAGTGGGATTTAGAAGGAAGCAATTATTTTGATGATTAAAATGCTTAGTTATTCAAATAAAACTATTTTCTGCCCTGAAACAGCCTCAGCATTTAAAAACACAATTTGGAAGTAAAGTAAAAAAATGGATGACGGGAAATAATCAGTGTTAACATTTGAATAGTATATCTTTTTACATTATAATAGTAGATTATTTAACATTATAACATGCCGCATACGAAACAAACAAATGCCATTAAAAATTAAAACAATTTCACAAATAACATTTTAAGGTAGATCGTGTAGAGCAAAAGAAAAAAGGACTTAGGTCGTGGAGCACTGAATGTTTTTTGCTAGTCTTTTATAAAAACGAATTTTTCTAACCTGTTTTTGATTTACTTATCCAACTGAGTTTTCATTGTAGTTTTTATTTTCAGGTAAAGCACAGAACAAAGAGCTCGATTATATGGTGGATATCAAAAGCAAAGGTTCTCGTCACCTGACGATGATGTCACTTGTTTTAATGACGGCAGGAGCGGCCATATTAAGCACAGAATCTACTAGCATCGACGGAGAATGACGAACGATGACGAAGAGTTGTGTATAATAACGAAGAATAGCGGAGAATGACAATTAGCTATATATATACGTAGATAAATAATTAATGTGATGAGACCCCCAAGTTAAGTCCAGCATTTTGATGGTTGGAGGCGTATAAATTGCTGAAATCAGATATAATTTGATATATAATTTGAAAAGATCAGAGAAACTTATCGACACCTCTTATTCTAGCTATTTAATAAGAAAGCCTATTAGCTTTAAGCAGGAAATGAAACAAAATTTACATTTTTTTTAAGAAGATTAAAAAAGACAGAGATAACTGTGAATTCAACTAAGTATACACACTTTTTTAAAAAAATATTTTACCAATTCGTCAAATTATATTTTTAAGTCGCAGCTGTCCTCACAACTTCATAGAATATTGTACATGCCGTTCTTAGTAATTCTTTTTATTTAAGTGGGTTATTTTATTTTGGCAAGTTATCAGTGTGTAGTGTGACTGCTTTGGAATTATGCCCTGCTGTTATAGAGACCGCAGTATTTCTTTCTTCTTAATTTCAGTTACTTTTTATCGTAAATTCCACATACACAATGGTGAATCGGAAACAAAGAATAAACCTTTGGCGAGATTTAAACTTTCATACTTTATAATCATGAACTTTTCATTAAGGGTCAAATGCTTTACATAGTTGACCACTGAGACGAAACCGTTATCAGACATTCAAATCTAACTATATTGCAATTTTTCACGAACGCCTGATACATCGCAATCTTTTTTGTTTAGACCTTCGTAAAAACAGAAATGGAGATGGAAAAATACAAGAAAAAATTAGTATTAATTCATAATGCTTCAAGTAAGTAATCTGAATATTATTACGATATTATTTATATTTCCGAACCAGGATTTTACGAATATTTAAGCCTTAAGAATAAAATGTTGAAAAATAAATCGTTACTTAAAAACGAAAATAGTGTTTTTATCTATTTACGAATTTATGTCTCCGATAAAAAAAATAAAACAAATTTCACAAAACCTGTTATTCAACGCAGTTTTTATTTTTTTATAATTCTGTATTCTTCTAATCTATATCCAACCTTTGTAGCTAAATACTGGCAAAATTTCTTAGAACTATAAGAGCGTTTACTTTTGAACAGATGTTGGGGGCCTATATTTTTATGCTTACTAAACAAACTGATTGAATCGGAATTAGAATAACATTTTGGAAAATTGCGAAACTTATATACGGAATAGAGTCTTAGTAACAGTGCATGTGTTTTGCACGCCATTTAAAACAATGAATGGATCAATGGGAGCAATGCAACTACTAAAAGTAAAACCTGTGTGAATATTCAATAGAAAATGTTCTCTCGTATTAATATTGAATATATTATGCACACCATTTTTATCTAGATAGATAAGAACCAGTAATGAAAGCGAACAACAAAAAAGTAAATAATATGTTTCTGTTAAAGGAATTCCTTTTTTTTTTTTTTAAAAAAAGCCATATGTAGAAGCGGACGGCGAAGCAGTTTTAAAAACAAAAAAAATGCTGGAGTAAGAGAGGCAGTTCGTTTGGTAGACACATCATATGCAAAAATGATACTGAAGAATTATTTATTAAAAAATTCCAAATTTTATTTCAGCATTTCTACATCGGTAGCACTTGTCTATAAATTTGGGGAAAGGGGTGTTCTTAGTAGTCATTACCATGCAGTTGAAACCAACACAGAATTATTAGAAAGCAGAAACTGATACTTCAAGTAAATAGAAGTGGTAGTAGAAACTGATACTGGAGTTACGCTTCAAGTAATCAGAAGTGGTAATAAAATCTGATACTGGATATATGGTTCAAGGAATCAGAAGTAGTAGGAGAAACTTATACTGGAGATACGGTTCAAGTAATCAGGAGTGTTAGGAGAAACTGATAATAGAGTTATGGTTCAAGAAATCAGAGGTAGTAGGAGAAAATGATATTGGAGATGTGGTTCAAGTAATCAGAAATAGTAGGAGAGACCGATACTAGAGTTATGATTCTAGTAATCAGGAGTGGTAGGAGAAACTGATACTGGAGTTACGGTTGAAGTAATCAGAAGTGGAAGGAGAATATGATACAGAGTAACGGTTCAAGAAATCAGAATTTATTTATTACTTAATATGACCATAGGACGAAGAAGACGTATGTATTAAAAAAAAAATCGGCCAGCCAAGATAATGTAAGCAATGGAATATAGGCAATGAGAAGTACAGTAGATACAAATATTTACGATTTTATTTCGTAGGTAATGAAACATGAAATATAATTAAAAACATTTAGAAAATAAGAATAAAAATAAATAAAACTACAGTATAGGAATTAAATCCTATATATATATATATTTCAACCAATAAAATCCCATCTGAAGGTTTATTTGATAAACAACAAATACTGCCAAAATACTTGCGGACGTAGTTGTAGACCTACCACGTGTTATTTTTAGACCATCTAGAAAATAATAATATCTCCTTTCACCACTCCCGCAAATTCGAGAAAAAGATTTTAGTGAGCCGGTGTGAAATTATTTTCTAACTAATGAAAACTTTGTATTCAAAAAGTTCACGCCGCTATGTAAAATTAGATTTCAGATTTCCATTACGCATATAAAAAATAGAAGCCTACTGCTTCTCGGGATTCGAAACAATGATCTACAACTGCGTGCAGACGCACCCACACACAATGTACAAAATGGAAGAGATGCGAGACAGGAACCGACTAAGCCTTTGTCCACGCACGGACAGAAACATTAGGCAGACCGTCATAATGTCCACACATTTCACATCGCTCTACAAATACTTAATTAGTTGATAAAACAAACTCCACTGCAAGGAAAATTGAACATTTTATTGTTATTGTATATTTGTGAAAAGAATATATAAATATTATTTCAACTGACGTTCTACTTCTACTTTTCCTTCAGAGCATAACCATTTTATGTTTAATTCAAAAGATGTGTTGTTGTTAAATGTTTGGAATCCCGACACTCAAATAACAAGTAAAACCTGGTTAAACGGATCCCAACAACAGTATGAAAATGTTGAGAAAACCTTCAATGAAAATATCCGTGTTTCTTTTTCTTTTTTTTTAATAATCATCAAATAAAGAAATAAACATAATCAACACACACAGACACACACACATAAAAGTTTTAGCGGCAAATGTATGAACTCTAATGGTTAATAGATACGTGAACCTATGAGAATATGAAGGCAAAGAAAAAAACTAAAACAACACAAAACATATTTTGTGTTGTTTTAGTTTTTTTGTATTGACCAAAAGACAAATGATTTGCAGCGGATCTTCTGCTTCCAAAATCATGTAGTGTCTCGTTCGTCTGTTCTTGGTGTGAGCCCTTCGCTGTAGTGATCTTGAGACTTCTATTAGTAACACGCACATACAGATAAGCTTCAGTCCAGCCGCCAGACGACTTCCCAGTGGTAATTTCTAGCGGTATCCGTTTCAGGCGCCACTGAGGTATAACTTGATTAAAAGATAAGGTTGCCCAACGGTCCCGTTCTGGTTTTAGCGGAAGGTTAAATAGCCGTTCCTTGGTATATTTACTGTGAGTATTGCCTCGCTGCGCCACTTGGTGCGGAGGTCTCTGCTTTCCATCTCCTCCTCCTCCTTGTCCTTCTTCTTCTTCTTCTTGCGGATTTTGAAGATCATCTGAATAAGAAGTATGAAATTTAACAGTTCAGTGTATCGTTTTAAGTATTAATGTATTGGTTCCAGTAAGAAATTTAAACGCAGAAATGAGCACACAAACACACACACACACACACACACACACACACACACACACACACACACACACACACACGAACGAACATGTTCTCAAATACATACATACACATATATACACACACGCGCACAAACACACGCGCGCACACACACACACACACGCACGCGCGCGCGCACACACACACATATATATGTATGACAAAGTGGAAAAATTTTCGTGTGAAGTGTTTCGTCTTTTAGGATTTCATCGGACAAAAACTTTTTCCACATTGTCATACATTTCCTCCCAATATTGTTTTTGATGTATAAGCATTTATATATCTTTATCTTATATATATATATATATATATATATATATATATATATATATATATATATATATATATGTATGTATGTATATAATTATTTATTCGAAAATTATAAGATAAATATGTTATAAAATTACTACAAAAATATATTCAACACCGTCACTTGATAAGACACCAGAAGTGTTGAAACAAAATGGCTATTTTTGTATTGATTTTATAATATATTTATGTTATAACTTTCGAATAAATAATTATATTTGCTCCACTTTTTGTATTGAGTACTCTTTTAAGAATAGTATTTGTTGGTTATTGGAATTTATTCCGTAATTTTAATTATATGATATATATATATATATATATATATATATATATATATATATATATATATATATATATATATATATATATAAAAATATAGAAAATAGGAAGGAACCGGTTAGGTAAATAATCCAAAGTCTCTTAGTATTTTTTAGTTATTATTTTTAAAAAATAGTGCTCGATACAAAAGTAGAGCATAAATATAATTATTTATTTAAAAAAATATGATTCCAAATCGCTACATAAGAGGTCTCATGTTTCAAAACAAGAGCCGAAAACTTCAATATAATCCTTTAAATTAAATTGAGTTTAAGTTAAAATGGGCTCCGTTCCATCTTCAAGCGAAATTTTTGTTGGAATAACGTATATCTGAAATTTACTTGTTTTAAAAATTGAAATCAAAATCTCCATGGTAACAGCAAGGGCGAATTGTTTAAATTGGGTAGGCGAGTGTAGGGTGTTAATAATAAGTAGCGGTATAGAGATACTTTCAAGGTGTCAAGTCGGGGAAAGGTGGGGGTGTCTAAAATGAAACGGAAGATGTATTAACCTTCGTCTAGTTTGTTTGTCTATGGAGATTTATTTATTTATTTTATTTTATTTTATTATGAAAGGGA